TGAGTAGGCAACTCCTTTGCTGAGGTTGGCCAGGCCTGGAGAGGGGCTGTCTCCAAGCTGAGCTGGGCAGAGCGATTTCCTGGGAATGCCACACCCCCCAGTGGCCAAGCTCCCTCGATGCCTCTCTCCTCCTCCTCCATAGACTCTCCCTGAGGCCACCAGTCACTTCCTGTCCAAAACCAGAACATAAAAACCCTTAGGAGAGGAAAGAGGGGGAAAATAATCATCACAAAACAGTAACAACTATTCATTCACTCATTCAACAAGTATTTCTTGAGGGCTTACACTAAGCAAGGCTCTGTGCCAGGTGCTGGGGACATAGCAGCTAGTGGGACAGACCCAGTCTCTGCCCTCAGAAAGCTGAAAGTCCAGTGGGGAGACAGTGGAGAATCACACAGAATGGGACAGATATGTAACATGATGTCAGGTCATGAGAACAGGCTGAGATGCTAGGAGGGCTGCCATCCGGAGAGCATCTCTGAGGGCATCATACTGGAGACCAGGATGGTATGAGGCCATGAGCTACACCAGGATCCAGGATAACAGTGATCCGGGCAGAGGAAAGAGCAGAGATAGAGGCCCTGAGGCAGAAGCAGGCATGGTGTGTTAGAAGAAAGTGAGGAGGCTAGTGTAAGAATGGGATAGGAAGTGGGGCTAGGGAGACAATGGGCATCAGATCAGGGCTCTGAAAGCCAAAGTAAGGATTTAGCTTTGACTCTGAGTTGAGATGGGGACCTACAAGACAGTTTTGAGCAGGGAAGTGACAATATTTGAATTATGCTTTACAGAAAACACAAAACGCACTGCCACAGACTTGGACCCGACTCATGGCAACCCCTCCTTGGGTTTCCGAGGTAGTATCACTACGGAAGTAGATTGCCCAACTTTCCTTCTGAGGAGTAGCTGGTGGGTTTTACAGAGATCACAAAAAATTATATATATATATATATATATATATATATATATATACACACACACATATAAAATAATTACATTTGACATTTATTGACGAGGAACTCTGGTGGCATAGTGCCTAAGGCATTTTACTGCTAACCAGAAGACTGGTGGTTCAAACCCAATAGCCACTCCTCAGAAGGAAGATGGGGCAATCTACTTCCGTAGTGATACCACCTCTGGAACCCAAGGAGGGGTCCCTATGAGTTGAATCCAACTTGATGGCAGTGAGTTTGGTTTGGTTTGGTTTTGACATTTATTGAGCCCTTCCTATATTCCAGAAAGCTCCTTCGAAGCAAAGATGGTGAGATTCTGGTGCACTCACTTTGGACATGTCATCAGGAAAGGCCAACCACTGGAAAAGGACATCATGGTTGGTAAAATGGAAGGTCAGTGAAAGTGAGGAAAACCTCAGTGCGATGGGTGACACAACAGCTGTGACAGTGGACTCAAACGTACCAATGATCATGAAAATGGTGCAGCACCAGGCAACATGACCATGAGTCAGAGGCAACATGACAGCAACTAACAAAACACTGTAGTTGTTGTGCTTTCCAGGCAGACCCAACTCATAGCGACCCCTCCTTGGGTTTCTGAGGCAGTATCACTACAGAAGTAGATTGCCCCATCTTCCTTCTGAGGAGTGGCTGGTGGGTTTGAACCGCCATCCTTCTGGTTAGTAGTCAAGTGCCTTAGGCACTACACTACCAGAGCTCCTAACAAAACTATATACCAGCTGTTATACTCAGTGTTTTGACCACATCATCTTTAATCCTTACAATAAGCCTATGAAGCAGCAGGTCCCATTACCTTGCCCTTTTTACAAAGGAGGAGACTGAAGTTCAGAGGGGTGAAGTGATATGTCTTAAGTCACAGAGCTGTTATGTGGGAAGCCAAGACTTGAGCTCAGCTTTCGGACTCCAGAACTGTGAGGTTCCCTGGTCCAGGAGTTGGAAGGCCTAGATCCTAATTCTGACTCCTACCAACCAGCTGTATAACATAAGCGATTCCTATCTGTTCCACTACCACCATAAGGGCTCAACCCAGGCAGTGGGAAGCCAGGAAGGCCCCGGGGATGAGGGTAGGTGTGGTAGTTATGTTTATGTGTCAACTTGGCTGGGCCTAGTTGAATGGCTGGGAAGCTGGTGGTAGTTATTCCCCATGATGAGACTGGCAATCAGCTTCATGGTGGGATCTACCACAAGCAGGTAAGTAGCTGCCTTTGGGATGTGGTCTGTTTCCTGTATATAAGGAGAAGCTTTGAGAATGGTCTCTAGCTTGTGGCATGCTTAGACTCTACATGTAACGGTGTCATTGCTCTGTAGCCTACTATGCTCTGCCGACCTTGGGACTTACAATGGACTTAAGTTAATGGCCTGCTGTGTGGTTTGGTAATATCAGGACTGTGCCTTTTTACTTGTCAACCTTGGGGCTTCTCAGCCTCAGCAGCCAGCAGCTGTCTGAGTGAAGAAACGCCTCTAGCTCCAGTGGGCCGGGAGCAGGAGGCAGAGCTGAACCCCAAGGTTGACCGGCTTTCGCCCAGCCCCTAGAGCCTGGCACTTTGAACTTGGACTTAATGCCTCCAAATTGTAAGAATAAACTCCTGTTTGTTGAAGCCATCCCATTCGTGGTACATTTCTTGTCAGAGTGGCACTAGGTAACCACAACAGTAGGTCACCACCCTTACTGAACCCCAGCTTTACCCTCTGCAAAATGGACATAATTGATCCTCCTCTCAGAGTTGCAGGGAGGATGCCAAGCACAGGGTGCAGGCATGGGAATGGGTGCACAGCAGCTGCTCAATAGGGGTTATATCAATTATTTGTCCCCCAGAGCTTTGGGGACATATTCTAGGGATTCGGTGAGACAGACATCAGCCCAGTCCACTCTGGGAAGAGAAGGCAACCATTCTGCCCCACCCTGATGCTCAGCAGCAAACCTGCCTGCAAGAGAAGTGACAGGGGCCAGCAGATGTAGGAAGGCCAGGCAGGAGTAACCAAGAGACAGAGACAGCCTTGTCCTCGACCCAAGGCTATTTCCTGCACAGGCAGAGAACTTTCCATCTCCTTATGTAGGGCGACTTGCTTCTGCCAAGAAGCTTCCCCCTCACCAGGTATCACCAATCCTGAAATTCTACCATTAGAGAACTGTCTCATCAAGTCAAGCAACCCTCTTTTATTGGCTAAGTTCTCTTTGTTCAAGAGCTTCACAGAAACCTATAAACAGCAAACAATGATTCCACTCTTTAAATTCCCTAAAATCTAGCCTCTGAGCCTGTCTACATTCAGGAGGAGAAATAAGAATCAGGATAAGCCCAAAGCTGATTCCTTTGAGGTAGAGGTCAGACATACCTCCACTCTCCAACTTTTTCACCATTTCTGACATCAGGGCCCCCTCCACAGCATCCTCTACTTCTCTGCTAGGTTCAATAATTTGTTACAATGGCCATAGAGAACTCACAGACCACACTCACAATTATGTGGTTTATTAGGGAAGAAACAGGAACAACTCTGGAACACAATCAATTTGGAAATAACAGGATACAAAGCAGGAGACAAGATACAGTTCATTGATGAGGATGGCTTCCAACTGCAATGACTCTCAGCTCCTTCCTACCCAAGGCCCTTCTCTTGGCTGTGCCAGCCAGAGGCCTTTCGCTAGGCCTCTGTTCTGCTTGGGCAAGTGTTACAACTCTTTACCTCCACTGACAAGTACTCGGAGGCACCCCACTCTGTCAACAAGACAAAGGCTCTGGCTCTCTCTCTCCTCCCTGTTAGCTGCCAACCACCACTGAAGCTGTCAAGCTGGATCAATCACACTATCCCATTGCCTTGCCCACAAAACATGTGAACCAAGCCAAGCTAAGCCAAGCCAACCAGAGTCCTTCCCTGGGATTTTTCTGGATGAAGCTGACAGAGAAGAGGTCCTATTCCCATTTGGTCCAGAAACAACAAAAAGATGCTAGAAGCAGCTATTGGTGGACATATTTCTAGCCATATTAAATAATAATAATAATAAAAGATGGAGCCCAACTAACAGAGAGAAAAGACAGAGAAAAGAACAGCATCAATCTCTGGTTCCCACTTCCTGTCAGGCAAGCTTTATTCCTGTCCTTGCTGGATACGTGAACCAATCAATCCCTTTTAATTTACTTCAAATAATCCAAATTGTGTTTCTGTCACTTGCCAACAATAGGCTCCTGAAATATAAGGATTCCATGTCACCATTAGGGTTCAAGCTAAAGCAACAAATCCTCTTGGGAGACGTGGTCTGAGGTTCTAAATTCTTACTAAAGTAAAATGACTGATGTCAGCATTTATTTTCACAAATGGATTTTACTAAATACATCCTGCTCCATATTTTGTTATTATTGTTGTTTAATAATAAGGCCTGCACATAAGAATTTTTTTCAAGATTAAAATCCTTCAGGTCCCAAAGTGCTAGGTTTGCTCAATCCGGCTCCCTGTACAGGATACAGTAAGTATTGTTAAAGGGAAGAAACAGAAGCAAAGAAAAGGAAAGGAAGGGGGTAAATTAAAAACAAAAAAGAAAAATTAGAAAGGAAGACACGGAGGAACGCGTAGGGAAGGAGAGAAGGTAGAGAGAGAAGCAGTTGGAGAGAGGAAGAGACCGAGACAGAGAAGCGGAAGGCAGATGGTGCCTGGTTCAGAGGTTCTAGCCCCGCTCCCTGTCCGGACTCCGCCTCGAGCCCAGACTCCGCCCCAGACTCACAGGCTGCAGGGCCACCTCCGGCCTCCAGGGGCCGCCATGCGCAGCTCGCCACACCTTGCGCGCGTGGTGGGCTCTCTTTCCTACCTCTGCGCTGGCCGCTAGCCGACCTGCCGCCACTCTTGAGCTCCGGCTGTGTCTCGCGTGCGGTTTTCTCCTAAGAGGCTTCGCGCCGCTCGGCGCTCGCCGTCCCCCTGCCTCGCGGCGCGGGGTCTCGCGGGCCCCGCTCCCGCCCTCCGCTCGCCTGGCCCGGACCGGAAGCGGCGCCGCACGGCCTGGGCCTGGCGCGGGGGGCGGGAACCGGGGCCCGGTCGGACATGGGCAAGAAGCACAAGAAGCACAAGTCGGACAAACACCTCTACGAAGGTGGGGAGTGGTCTGGGCGGTGGGGCGGCAAGCCCGCGGCGGGCGCTGTAGGGTTTTGTTCTTTCGAAATTACTCTCGAGAGCCCTAGGTGAACCGGGGCTGCTGCTCACAAGGGCAGGCCGGGACTCCGACGGGGGCGCGGCCGACCAGAGGCCACGCAGACCCTTAGGGTCTGGAGTCGACCTCTGTCCTATCCAGCCCGGGGTGGGTCTCTTTATTGGGAGGTGTGGGACGGCCCGGGAGCGTTCGGGGCGGGCAGCCAGCCTCAGCCACTTCGCAAGTGTCCGTCATTCCACAGGTGCTTCATAGGGCGCCCACTGTGTGCCTGGGTCTTGGCGCCACCTCCCCTCCCTGCTCCCTAGTCACTCTGCATTAATTGTTAATAACACCGGGTGAAGCCCACCTTTAATTGGGGCCCGTTCCTTTTTGTTGAAGAGTATGTAGAGAAGCCCTTGAAGCTGGTGCTCAAAGTGGGAGGCAATGAAGTCACCGAACTCTCCACGGGCAGCTCGGGGCACGACTCAAGCCTCTTTGAAGACAAAAACGATCATGACAAACACAAGGACAGAAAGCGGAAGAAGAGAAAGAAAGGAGAGAAACAGGTTCCAGGGGAAGAAAAAGGAAGAAAACGAAGACGAGTGAAGGTAAGGTTGTTGGGTTACTTTCAGCTTTGCGAATGGTCCAGCCTCCAGCTACCAGTCTGACTTTTTCTGTGTGTCTGGAGACGCTGAAACTCCTGTCCAATCTGACTGGTTATGAGAAGTGGCAAGGTGGGGTAGAAACATGACTCATCTAAGAGCTTCAGCCTATCCTTATTATTTGTTCTGTTAGGCCGTTGTGCTCACACACCAGGTGAGTAAGTGGCTAGTTCTGATTTTCAGGAGCTGCTTCAAAGAATGCTTTTTCCACCTCAGCGGAGGAGATGTCACACTCAGGAAAGTCTGTGTTCCAGGTTTGTTAAAAATAGTAACTTCAAAAATTAGTGGGATCTGTTGGGAGTTCAAATTTGGGTCTGAACTAACCACTATAATGCCAAATAGATAGTGAACACTTTTCAACTTTTAAAATAAAGTTTTAGTCTGTGGAAGAAAAAATTTGATTAGAAACCTTTCAGGGATATAACACCAGTGTTGAAAATAAACATTTTCTTAACCATTTGCAGTTAACAGAAAAAAATAAGTAGTTGCCATTTTGGCTCACAAACTGAGCATAGCGACCCCTCCTTGGGTTTCCGAGGCGGTATTGCTACAGAAGTAGATTGCCCAGTCTTTCTTCTGAGCAGGGGCTGGTGAGTGTGAACCGCCAGCCTTCTGGTTAGTAGTCAGATGCCTTAGGCACTACGCCACCAGAGCTGCTTTTGTTTTGTTTTGTTTTCCTTCCAAGGGTAATCATATACATACCTGGAGTCATCAAGTACTTCTGCCCTCCTAGATTTAACCTGTCCCTAAGTGACTTACTGTATCAATTATTATATCTTGAAGGTAGGTTTTCCTTAGTTAGTCTTATCATTTTTGTTACGTTTATATATACAACAGAAGTGAGTTCCACGTGGTTGAACACAGTGGTAAGTCACCAAGTCTTAGGGATTCTTTCTTTAAGTTTGTTCCTCCCCTTTTTCTGTAGTTTTATTCAAGCAGAGAAGTGAACAAAATGAAAAAGAAAAAAAAATTTTCTCACCCCAGACTTTCATACAGTCTTCCTGTCCAGAGGTAACTAGTTTTTGTTTTGTTTAGTTTTAAATTAATTTTTGTTAGTAGTAAAGTCATTCACAAACATTATTTTAACATAAAAGCAGCCTCTGACCCTGGAGTTCTACTACAGACTTTTCAGCTTTATGTTTTGATACTTGCCTCCATTTCTAAATACAGGTTTATATTGCTGTTTTGGGCTTTATCAGTTTTATCTTCTACATCATGTTGTAGATGAGAATTTAAATTGGCATTCTTATACTGCTACACAGGAGCTCTGGTAGCGTAGCGCGTAAGGCACTGACTGCTAATCAGAAGGCTGCCTGTTTAAGCCCACCCGCCACTCCTTGGAAGGAAGGTTGGGCAATCTACTTCTGTAGTGATAACTGCCTCGGAACGCAAGGAGGGGTCGCTGAGAGTCTGGTCCAACTCGGCGGCACATAACAGCATACTGCTTCACATCCCCAATTTCCTTTTCTCTGTTGCCCCACTGTGGATACATCACAATTGGTTAAATCAACACGTAGTGTTGTTTTTAAATTACTGTTCACTGTGGAATAGTAATTAAAGGGACAAACAAAAGGGAGCTCTGGTGGCAAAGTGGTTAAAGCAAAAGCATTAAGCTGTTAACTGGATGGTTAGTGGTTCAAACCCACCAGTTGCTCCACGGGAGAAAGATAAGGCAGTCTGCTTCTGAAAGGTTTATAGCCTTGGAAACTTTCTATGGCATTTCCACACTGTCCTGTAGGGTAGCTATGAGTTGGAGTGGACTTTGAGTTTGGTTTGGTTTTTGGTTGGCCACAAATAAAATAAACAAGTAGACATCTGATCTTGCCAATGAGTTAAGGTTAATTGCTTTCATTTGTTTAGTTATCGATTCCGATTCCCAAATTAACATTTATAAAACCCAGCTGAGTTTTGTTTTTCACAAGGGCAAACTCTTCCCTTTTTTTTTCTTTTTCTTTTAAAGATATACATCTGGTAGTTCTCTCTGTCCCCTTCTGTCTTTGGACTTATTACTTTCTAGGTGCCATGGGCTCTGCTTTGCCTACTTCTTGTATCTCAAGTCTTCTCTTTTTGTATTCACTCCCTTGTTACTGTGAACAGGGAGTGAGCTCTAGGAGCTTCCTAAGAAAGCATGCATCAGGTAGGCTTGTAAGTTCTTTGAAAAGCTTTATTTCATCCTTATGCCTAATTGATAATTTGTTTAAAAATGGAATAAAACCAAAAACCAAACTCACTGCTGTCGAGTCGATGTGATAGTGTATTGAAAACCATTTTCTCCCAGAATTTTGAAGATGGTGCTCTGTTGTCTTTTGGCTTCCAGATTTCCTATTGAGAAGTCTGTTGCTGGTCTCGTTCTCAGTCCTTTGGGATCTTGAGGCGCTAACATTTTCCAGTGAATACATTTGCCTTCAGTTTTCAAATGTTTGCTTGAAAATTATCTGTGATAATTTCCTTCGCTCTGTTCCTCTTCTCTCTTTCTGGAACCCCTGCCATTTAGATGCTGGACTCCTGGACCGATCTCATTTTCTCCCTCTTTGTTTTTTATGTTCTGTCTTCAAGGCGAGTTCCTGGATTTTATCCTCTTATTCTTGGTTGAATTTTATTTCAGATCTTGTATTTTTGATTTCCAGGAACTCTTGCTTGTTCTCTAATTGGTATTTTTTCATAGCATCTTGTTCTTGTTTTTGAATGTAATGTCTTGTATTTCTCTGAGGGTATTAATTGAAGGTCCTTTGCTTTTCTTTTTCTTCCTGTTTTGATGATTTCTTTTGCTCCCCACATTTCCCTCAAGTTCTTCAGTTTATTTGTTTTGTCTCTTTCTTTTATACTAATGCATTCTTTTGCTGTTTATTGACTCTTTTTAGTCTGTATTTAAACCTGTAGCACAAAAAAGCTGATTGACTTTTATGACCAGATAAACTTTATCTGCTGATGGACTTTATTGAACCTGAACATTTTGATGGGGAACCCCCAAATGTCTATACTTCACAGGTATTTTCTCTGGGCTTTTCATTTTCTCCAGAGAAAAATCCTTCCCTTCTGGGAGAAGATTGTTATGTGGCTGCTGGTGTTGCTAGAGTCGCCTGGGGGTGAGGGACTGCTGGAGATCTTACTATCCAACTCTCTGCTTTCATTCTAGCTTCTCTGTGCCTGTGACTGGTCTTTGGGTGTAGAGCCTGTATGGTTGCTTGTGTCTTCATGTTCTGTGCTTTCCAGAGTTCTAGGATTTGAACTCTTCTCACAGGGTCAGAAATAGCTTACTGTCTCTGTTCTGCAAACTCCTCCATCTTCCTCCCATATCCCAAGACCGTTGATACCTTTCATGCACCATTGTCTCTTATTTTCTTTGTTCCTGCCATCATCTTATTTAACTAGAAGTTGAAGTAACCACTTTTAACCACTACTAGTTTTAGTTCCGGCACTTACCACCTAACACCAACTGATACAGTCTTCACTTCTTGTTTTATCAATTATCTCATTGTTTTTAATGAGTGCATAGTATTTGGTTACATGAATGTATTGTTGTTGTTAACTGTTTTGTCGAGTTGGCCCCTGAAGTTCATTTTATTTAACATTACCTGTAAGTGTTATAAATAATGCTGGAAGATGCTTCTTTGTACACTTGAAAAGGATGTCTTTAGGAGCTCTGGTAGCATAGTGGCTAAGACACTTGCCTGCTAACCAGACGGCTGGCGGTTCAAACCCACCAGCCACTCCTCGGAAGGAAGGTTGGGCAATCCTACTTCCGTAGTGATACTGCCTCGAAAACCCAAGGAGGGGTCGCTATGAGTCGGGGCCGACTCGATGGCACATAACAACAACAACAACAACAAGGAGAGGTTCCTAGAAGTCCTCTGCATTCCAGCCATTCTGCACTTTCTTCAGTGTGACTCTAGTTATTACTAGCCAATGTTGCATTTTGATACCATTGCAAATCTAAATACTTTCTCATCCTCAATCTCATTTGCTCGGAAGGAAGGTTGGGCAATCTACTTCTGCAATACCACCTCAGAAACCCAAGGAGGGGTCACTATGAGTTGAAACTGACTCAGTGGCAGTGAGTTTGGTGTTTGTTTTTGTTTTTTGGTTTTAGTCTCGCTTGGACATAAAACCTTACAGAGTAGACCAGCTAGGTAGATGGTTGTCATTTTCACGATAGATAAAATAGAAGCAGGTGAAATTAATTTTCCTAAGGTTCTCCTCTGGGATCAGGGCTAGGGACCATGGAGCATTTTTAGATTCTCTAGGGTGTCACTGGTTCTGTAGAGGCTGTTTTGGCCATCCCCTTTTTCTAGGACAGACCTGGGACAGAGAGGGGTTTCTTTTTGCTAGTGCTTTCTACAGAGGGATATTTCAGAAAGAGGCCCTCCTCTGGCTGTGTTCTGGACTTTCAAGAACAGCACTTGCTTCATCTCTTCTTGGAGTCGGCTATATGACACCTGTTTACCTGGGAAGGTCTGGGTTGTGTATGGTTCTGAGGGCTGGTGATTGTCATCTCTCAGTTCTGTGCAGCAGGAAGGAAGAGGGTCATAAGGAAATACTTCTTACAGTATTTTCTAAAAGGCATTCATAACTTTTTGTACTTCATTAGCCAGAACTTAATCACATGGCCGCCCTAGCTGCTGGGAAGGCTAGATGATGATCCTCTTTTAGTTGGGGGTCAAGATCATAATGAACCCTACTGTAATTCAGGAATCTGTTACTTAGGAAGATAAGCAGAAGTATGCAGCAGTATCTGCCACACACAGCAGTATCTGCCACACAATTTAGCTGTTACTCTATAATGCTTTCCCCAGCTCTCCAAGGTGAAATGAGAAATACTTTCCCTGGACGCCTAGAATGCTGTACTCATACCTCTGTTAGGATGCACAGGCCATGAAGTTTATTTATCCCTTTGTGTCTGAATCCCCAGCCAGCTCTCTACTCCTATAGGGCAGGAACTATATCAC